AACACTCGTGGAAGTTGGGAAAACTCGAAATTGTATGAAAACACTCCGCCCTTCGGGCGTCGTGTTTCCATACAATTTCTCGTTTTTCCAATTCCACTCGTGTTGATATAACTGTATATCAACACGGAAAATGTTTTATATTTGTTAAATGCAGACCATTTTTAACTTATATTGCAAACCACATAGATAGATAGATAGATTTATTAAAATTACTTCGCAGCCATAAGGCTGAATTACGTAATTATTTACATGTTTGATTCTAAAAATTATATAACTATATTACAAGTAGTTTCAAAGTTACTAAATAACCATCTGTGCATATATATTGAAAGTGTAAAATTGACCTGCTAGTTTAATTAAGAAATTTTGAGATTCTTTTTTCAAAAGTACCATATCACATAGTTTGGAATCATATGAGAAATACAGTCGTATCATATGACTGTGTTTGTGTGACCAGTGGCATGCATATCTGTATTATTTTGCTGTGTTTCTTGATCGTTCTCATTTCTTGTACGATACGTCTTATAGAGTGCAACTAGTAAAATGGCTAGAGCAATGACATTCTTTATCAGAAAGACAGCAGCATTCACATGAAATCTCAACCACAGCACCAAACGGATGACCATGAAACATGCATTCAAGATAACTTGTAAAACGATGTTAACCGCCGCTGTTTTCTTGCGCATTTTCACTCTATCTGGACTATTTTCTTCCCGAACAAACTTAATTTGGTGTATTTCAAGGAAGGACACGAAATAGTATATACAAACGACCACCACAACAGCAATTTCAAATTCTTCTGGTATTTTGTCATGAGGAACTTGAAGTAGTACTTCTAGCATTTCCACACCGTCAAAAAGATTCATTGTTGTGGTAAAGTATATATCTGGAGATATCTCGGATTCATCGGCGGCTGAGGTTAATAAAAGTAACATTTGTGCAGGTGTTAAAGACAGTGTTAGCGTCAGAACGGTTGAATCGAAGAAAGGATGCGTCTTTTTCGAGTTCTCGATTTTAGTAGTATTCTTATCACTGTGTCTTCGGTTAACAGACGCGTTATACATACTGCTGTTGGAGATATTTTCGAAAGTATAGTTATTTTTTCCATCGATGCAGGGTTGGCTTTTTGACTCTTCGACTTCGTTCCTCAGTTTGTTGTCTTTTATCACTATCTCTCCAAATATTATTGCAATCATGATCACAAGTATACAGGAATAAAGAAACCACACAGCACTCAAACCATCTTTCAGTCCGTCACAATACAAAGTTCCAGCCAAAAACAATAACGGTATGGCAAACATCGCTGCAAGGCCGTAGAAACCGTGTTCATTTCTATGCGCAACCATAAACCGCGAGAAGAATGAACCTTGAATAATGGCGAAGACAAAAAAGAGAAATCTGCTGATTGTGTACAGTTTCATTTTATATCTGCTGAGAAGACACGCAAACTTGTGAATTCGCTCGTTTATATAGTGTGTTGCGACGCTTTTCTTAGAAACGGTGTTCTAAGAATATTGACGTATAATTCTAGCTGTGTCATACCGCAATGTACATGCAGGTGTTCACGAAGTTGCTTTAGTGACGAGCAAAACAAACTGAGTTATCTCCATGACAATAAGAAAGAAATCTACAACATCACTAACATGTTTTATATTTAAGAATACATATTTTACAACGAAATTAAGAGTTTAAAACTATACAATGTACCTAATGTTTTTGCTCCAACAATACATAGAGGCTTTCCACACGGTTAGAACGGTCAAATTGTTGAATGGAACACAAAACGTTTGGGCTTCGGACCTTCTGACCGGAAAATTTAGATAAAATTAGAATGAGGTCCATATTCGCTAGATATTTGAGAAACATAGACCAGATCTTTCCATTGATACAGCCACAAAAATTCGGGTTTGACCGGTCAGACGATTAAATGGAAAGCGCCCTAAGTATAACCATTAAGAACTGCAGACTGTAGGTGGGATCAATAGTCCAGATCCGCATACTTAAAATTTTGTTTAGCAAAACGTTCTGCCTACCAAACGTCAATCTCCAACTATTCTATATACAATAAAACGTATCGGGACAATAATGCTAAGAACTAATCACCATTCCGATTTGAACCATTTAGTTTAAATATACAACAATAACCTTAAGCAATAACTTAAATATATAAAATCACCAGCCATATTCTACCAGTTGAGAACTACTGCGGCAGGTATTGACTATGCCACCATCATTGGAGTAAGTCTAGAGGAAATAAGATGTCATTGGATGAATGAAACCACAGTGGTCAGTGAACGTGTCAGATTCCCATTCTGATTATAATTTCGTGCATCATCTAACAGCGCAGGTTTTCTCCAGGTACATTAATTTCCTTCTGGTGTAACACCAATAACAGATTATCTTTTTGGACAATTTTTCCTAGCCAAGGAGCATTGTTCTAAAGCTTGTCATGCCAGCTTTTGGACAAGGAAAGTTTGTTCCTGTGTACGGCTGCCAAGGATGTTAATACTTCCTTATTACTTTATTTGTAACAATTTGTTAATGTTTTTTACATGCCCATTTTGGAAACCAGCAAAATTAGCGTGGTTAAATAAAGTTTATCATCATCAGTGTTATCCAGTATAAAATTATAAATGAAGACGTTACGCCTGTGTCAGGTCACTGGTACCTCGTGAATTAACTGTTGACATATTATGCCTCTTTTTGCTGTGTTGTCAACCTACCTTTCTGTATCTTGGGAGTAATCAGACTCAACCAAAGGATCCATCTCAAATTCCAGTTCTTCATCACTTTCATTCATTGGATCATGAGCTGATAAACTGCAGTTAGAATAAAAGTAGGTTGTAGAAATATGGAGGGGGGGCACATGATTTGGATAGGGGCATTTTTTGTGGGTGTGGTGAGGGTACACATTTTTCAGGGTCGCATGGAGGTGTGCACATTTTCTGATAAACTACAGTATTTGGGGTTATACATGAATTGGGTGGGGACATTTTTCTTGGCTATGGGGAGGGTGCACATTTTCTTTGATGGTGTATTTTCATGGGAGGTAGGGGTGTATATGGTGTGGAGTGCACATTTTTGGAGGAAGATTGGACATCTTCCAAAGGGTGTACGTGTTTTCAGGAAGAGTGGGGTATATTTTGGGAAGGAATACACATTTCCAGGGGTGTGTGGAAGGGGCATTGTTGTTTTAGCAATGGAACAGCCATTTAACTTTACACAGGTATGGTATATATTATCCAATGCATAATAATCACATTGAACATACCACATTCCTCTACAGGTAAAGAAAACAATTCTTTTCATTTTCTTGTTGTAAAAGAAGTAGTTGAAAGACCACAAACATCCTTCTTCACCATAAGGATCTGAATTGAGGTCCGGATTGTAACTGAAAGAAAATACTTGAGAATTTAGCTCTGACTAGTCTAAGGTTTGTCAGTGAAGACTGAGAGTGATGTGGCTGGGTTATGAATGGATAATGAAAGATGGCAAACCAGCAAATGAAGAGGGGGTGACCAGTAATAACATGGAGAAGGGCAGTGGAAAGAGCCGTGTTGGAGAATGAGGCTATGGCGATGATTGTGGGGAAGAAAGGCGATTCATTGTTTCTCACCAAGCAGAAGAATCTATTAAGTATATTTTAAGGTAGAGTTTATCTTCATATTTTTTATGTAACCTTTACCTGATACAGTTGGACTCAATACTGAAAGGACACAACTGTGTCCATATTAGAGAAGTGCTTGTTGTATAGAGGTTTTCGATAAGATATATGAGAATTATGTATGTCTGCATGGACACTTAAAACCGTCTATAATAGGGAGGTGTAAGGACAGGCTTGACTGTATCAATGACAAAACCTTTCCAATACCTGTATACAATACAGTCAGCCAGTTGAATTTCTGCCTCAATTGCATTCCAGAGCTTATGTTTGAACTGGCAATATGACTCCTCAAGGACACCACTTAAGCCACTATCAATAGCATCTATCACAAGCTGCAGGTTTGGTTCACGACTGAATTCCTCGGACTTTGCATTGCTAAAGTCGTAATCAGGCTGGAACGAGGCATTCAAGGTGGATATTAAATAGAACAGCATCTTCCTACTGCAAGCATCTGCCATTTCATTCTCGTACGACCCATAATACATGCTTCTTTTGGGTGAAATACTGCTTGGCTGCCCAGTCTGTGGGGGTGACAATGCCTGAAGATCACTTGGACTTTGGCCTTCTTGGTTTAACATTTTGTAAAGTTTTTTGTCATTGCCAGCCATCTTGCAAGAGTAGCTCTCTATCCTAGAATATATGAACAAATGCAAATTGTTTATTTGGTAGGTACCATGCAGCTTACCATACCTAAGAAATGCAAGTGTTTGGAGGCATAGTGTGTGATGATGGTATGGAAAATTTCCATTTTGTAAAAATATGTTGCCAGAATAGGAATGATGAAAAATGCCATGAATTATCAATTTTTTTGTAAGTGACAGTTGATGTCAACCTCTGTGGGTGGTAGGTTCAGGTCATGGGTGTGATAGAAGGTGTATATATTTTCAAAGGGGGTGCACCCTTCCTTTACCTGGTCCTTGGTTCGGGACTGTCCCTGCCATAGGACTTACGTTTGTGTGCGTGTGTTGTGTATGTGTGTGTGTATCTCTGTGTGTGTGTGTGTTTGTCGACACGTCTCTCATTCTTTCCCTGTTTGTACATTTCTTTCTTCTCTCTCGTACACTCCTTCATAGTAATTTTGGTAACATATATATATATATATATATATATATATATATATTTAATAATTTGTGACTTTGCTGGCAGGTGCCTTGCATGGGACCAATTTCTAGAGTCCTGTTCGTACCTCAAGTGCCATTTTGGATCACTCGCTAATATATAGTATAGCTATCCAATTATTTCTATATATAGTCTTTTTTTCTGGTTAGTGAACTTATATTGTAATAATTTGATCCAAATAAATTTGTTAAAATGAATTTTAAAAAATGAAATTTCAGCATGACCACTTTCTGTGGGGTAAGTGTGACTACTGACTGAGGTGGGGTGGGGCTTGAGTGTGACTACTGACTGGGGTGGGGTAAGTGTGACACTGACTGGGGTGGGTTGAGTGTGACTACTGACTGGGGTGGGGTAGGGGTGCAACTCTTTATAAAATTTGCTTTGGTTCATGTGAGTGTATGGGTCCTAATCTGTCAGGTTGGAAATGTTAATCAACCAGCCCTGTTATCTTCAGTTCAGGGCTTACATAAATTTACAAGACCTCAAAAATTGACAATAACTTGGCAACAATGTTTTGTTTACAATTTGTACAATTAATTGACATTTGACACCATCTAATAGAATAGCTGGATATTTAATATTTTCTCACCTGTCCAGCAACAAACTCAGTCAAAATGCCCAAGAATAGGAAACATTCCACAAAACGTGAACTACTTTGTATATTAATATGTAATTAAACTACTGTCAACAAATTTTTCAAACGTAAATTTTCCCACATACCTCCCGTCTATTCGCATTGCTCTGGCTTGAACCAACAAAGTGTTAGTAAGCGACTCAAATACAGCATTTTCCAACAACTTCATGTTCGCAGACTTTCAAAATACGACTAATAGTTGGGTTTTTAGAGTAAGATTCGCGGTTCGTTTTTAATATGGCGGTAAAATTTAACCGTTGTACTCTTGTGTCAAAGGTGCTCAAATTTAGCCAAAAATACAGTTTATAATAAAACTCTTCTTTAATATTATACTGTTCTGATGTAAAGGCTGCTTTCCAAAAAGACTACTCGTGTCGATAAAGCGCAGTAAATCCCCTGGACACATTAATACACAAAGCAAAAACCAGATGTTATTATAAGGTTCCAAACACAACACCACTAGTAGATATGCGATTTATATAAACCGAAAGTCCTCCAAAGCCCACGAAAAATCCCTCAAAAGCTTTCTTTATATAGACCTCTAACGATATTGCGTCTGCTCAGCTCCTTTCCGACCTCGCTTGCACAACAAAACGATGAATATTTTCGGTTTTATTTTGCTTTTAATATTTTTGACAAAGACTCAGCAAAAATGTATTTTCTTCTCCAAAATACAATGACGTCACTAGGTATATTATCCCGGTGGGAGAATTATACCTGGGTAACATTACCGGTATCACAGATTAGATTTACTGGATTGAGTTATTTAATCGTAGATTAATGCTAATCCTATATTTTATATTTCATATCTGCTTTAGTATATAATTTATCATTATTTCATTATTCCATATATAATACAGATTCATTTCAAGCATCAAGCAATTTTTGAAATATTTTGTAAAATATCCCGAAAATCTTTTTCCATTGTATGATCTTGAAATCCTGCACTTTTCTCAAGACATAAACCAATGGCTTTCGAGACCGCATCAGATTCAAAACGTATACCTCTGAGGTGTTTATTTATTTCATTCTCAAATACAAAATTTGGTAAAATAGCCATATTATTGATCCGACCAGATTGTATATCTAAGTCAACTTTTACTTTGGTTCCAGATGGTAGAAGACTAGATTTAGTTATGGTAAAAGGTGATGTTTTACCAAATATCCATTCCCAAGTTAAAAGCTCATTTTTAATTTTGTGAATTTCAGTGAAGTTTTTCCTAAATATATCCATAGAAAGTATCTTTGGATGTTCATTTTCCTGCATATATGTCCGAGCCACACTCGTTATGATCTCGTTAACATTTAGTGATGGTTCAATATCCTTCAGATTAATAACATGGGAGCTGACGCTTTGTGTTGCTCGAGAAGTTGCGACCATTCTGGGCATGATAGCCCTATTCAACCTATCAAGATCAACGTCACATAGTAATGTACAATGATGGTAACTCGAATATTTCCCAAGTTTTGCAGCAGATCCAGAAATCTTAAATATACCATCAACCACTACGTCATCCCGAGGTGATAAGTCAACATCTAAATTCCATCTGTCAGAAAGAGCTTTGGCAATACATTCCAAATTCCACTTTCTGTTGTACCTTGCTCGACTGGTCATAAATGTTATATTCAAATTACCCAAATCATGGTATACAGTGCCTCCACCACTGTATCGTCTTGCCAGTTTAATACCATGCTCTTTCAAATACCGTAGGTCGCACTCCAACCATGGATTTTGGTGCCTACCAATGACTACGCACGGTGAGTTCTGCCAAAAATACAACACATCATGGCTTTCCAAATTCAAATTCTCGTACATAAAATTTTCGTAGGCTAGATTCAGATATGGGTCATTGTATTGCGAGTTTAGCATTATCACTTTCTCAGAGTAAGGCAAGGTAATTCTCGATTTATTGCTCAAATAACGACAAAAAAATTTCATCGACAACTTGGGTTTTTTACATGACCTTGGAAACAACATGGCAAAAAAAATTTGGATTAAAATAGGCAAAATTTTATAACATTTTTGTATGACTTTTCAAAATAATGCATCAAGCCATCAACTCCATCAAGGTAATTAATATTCCATTTCCTGCGAGACGCGACAAAACACGCGTGGACATGAGTGCTCAGCCAATGAAAAGATTTGCTCAACTCAAACTCGCGCGCGTCGCTGGCGGGGGACAAACTTGAAAGTCAGCAAAATTCGAGGCAAAATTAAAATATGAAAAAAAGTGAATTTACTTTGAAGTTGTAAAATGTTCCCATTTAATACGATGCTGGCACAATATACTAGTAAAGGTATTACTAAATATTTAGATAAGCAGACTAGATATGTTAATAGTTCAGTAGACAGTTTTACAGTTATCTAGACAAGTCTGTAAACCACGTGTAAGTGAGATTTGCACGTGGGCATGTTCGTTTTGTCTTACTGTAAAAAAATTATGCAAAAGAGAGCATAAAAACGGTGCCTGTGAAATTGCTAAGTCCTGTACCATTTCATCCAGTCTTTAAATTAAAACATTTTGTGAGTGCTTTTCGGTTGTAAACTTCACAGAAATATCAGTTTATCTTTCAATGTTTATGCCCCAAAAGTTCAAAGGTCATGTAAATACGCTGTACATATACCCTCATTTGCATCTGTGGACGAATATTTGCATCAGCTTTTCTGTGGCCTGCACTTGGGTGCAGAGTGCTTGTTATCTCCACCTGGCATGCCTAACCAACCAGAAAACCTCTAGGTGTACCAAGAGAGAAAATCCATTCCAAAAAGTGGGTGGGAAGAAGAAGCATAATATGAATGTAAGAGTTGAGGGATGCCTGTTCCCCATGATTTATGCCCTTGGTCTACCTTCGACTTGGTGTTTATGTGATGATCTGTTATTTGGCAGGTTTCATTCTGATCAGTCAGGTTTCATTTTAACTTGCTTCACACTGATTGGCTGAGCTAATTGTAACCTCCAAATGTTTGGTGCAAACACAGTGGGTGCAAACAGAGAGAAATTCAACACTTCACTGTGAGAATACCAAGGGTGGGTTTGGATAGGGGAGTGGGGGATGTACAGGATGTGGTAAAGTTCAACCGCAAGCTACAGAGAATAAGGAGTGGGTCATTACATATCCTGGGAGGAGAGAGGGGGGG